AGACCCTCTGCTACCTACCTAGGGTTTAGGGTTTGGGGTTAGTAGGGAAGAAAAGAATACAGTCGTATAGGGATCATATTCCCTGATTCCTTACTAAGGACCAGTAAGATCATCTGGCATGAAGGCACCGTCACTTTGACATGGATCAAATATCGGGCACAGCCCAGCGGCTCGGACCTGGAAATCTACTTTCCAACCCTGCAACCATAAAAGGCCCTCAAAAATCTGCAAAAAGCCCGTGCCGGCCTCATAAGTGTAATAATGATGAAATTAATAATAGTGAACATGATAGTGATGTTAAAAATATTAATGACAATAGTGATATGAGAAGCAACAAGAGTAGAAATAAGTACCCCCAACTAAATGGCCAGATAAACGCACAATAAACCCATTTATCTTCACCAATGCTCCAGAGCACCCGGAACCTCAAACCGCCGGACACACCTGCTTATCCTTACGGCACCGTCGCACTCTGAACCTCAAACCGCTGCCACTCCCAAAGTCCCGGCCAAACATTACAACTGGGAGGGGCTGAGGATACAGCTTGGTTCCGACCTGAGTTTAATCCTACCTACCACCAGATCAGCACAGCGGCGCTCACATCCGCAGTCCCTTTTGTGACTGCGCCCATCACGAGCACGAGGACCAAGACCTTTGCTTGAAAACTGGGGGGGTGGGGTCTTCTCAAGCTTCACATGCAGCGCCCCACAGTTTTGGGTTGAGAGTGTACCTGAACACGCTGATCCGAAGATTGTAAACCCCCTAGGACATGAAGGGCTGGGGTGGTGAATGTTGCCGGGGGGTGATCTATGCAGCCGCGCCTAGCAGCACAGTCCATGAGCGTGTAGCATACATACTGTGTTAGCCATGTGGGCCGCCTCTAAATTGCGAGGGTCCAGACGCCCTAGTTCCACTGTCAGAGTCCCATCCCACCCCCCTCCAAGATCAACATGGAACCACAGAAAGGGCCCTCCGGAGGCTAGTGTCTTCTTCTTTATACGGCCCTTTTTGGTAGCGCTTGGGGGAGGGGCTGGAATTTGGGATTGTCAGGCAAGAAGCGCTGAACTGCGGCCTCCTGTGGAGACCTGCTGCTGGAGATATGACCTAAATCCTGAACCCCACATGCCTGCTAACCCTGCACGATGGGTGTTGGTGAGGTGCCAACATCTGAAAACCTTTCCAGATTCCACGCGTGCAAACAAGACTCTAAAGAACTTGCGCTCTGTCCCCTTTCCACCAGCTTGGCCGGGGCTTTAGTAGGGGCTGAAGAAATGGAAGGAACGCAGATTCCCACTCCTCCTCCTCCTTTTCCTGCTCCAGTCCTACTCCTGCCCCTGCCCCTTCCCCTGCTCCTCCCACTCCTACTCCTACCACCTCTACAACTACATCTTTCATTATGGGGATTATACAAGGACTGCTATACGGATCCCTGCCTCCATTCAGCCTGGAAGCATTTGAAAATCCTAAACCCTAAGCTCGAAGTCCTAAACTTATGGCATAGGCCGCCCACCTTCGATGGTCGGCGGCGCTTAAGCCTCTCGACATCGATGGCGCAGATCGATCCAGCACGCTTGCCTGCCTCCCCACAGCCAGGGGTACTGTAAAGGCCAGGTACCTGGAGGAGTTTTCGTCAGGGCCTGCATGGCCTCCCAGGCCTACGGGCCTTCCAGGGCCTCCCCGGCCTCCCAGCTATCTGTCAGGTCCAGGTACCTCCCAGCCAAGATTCGGCCAGGGCTAGCCATGATGGAGCTTCGTTTAAAGACTGTCCCAGATTTGTTTTTTGGCTTCAGAAATCTTCATGAACTGTCAGAAAACCTCCCACAAGGTGAAAACCTTTGACCATCCTCCAGGGGGCCTGCAAGATCCTTCAACAATAAAAACGCGAATGAAATGTATTTGAGTTGTTGGCCAAGATGGACCTAATTGAGTTTAGGTCCTAAATAAACCCTGAAAGGAGCAGGTTTGGGTGGTTTGGCCGCCTCACACGGCACGGGGCGGGTGATTGGTTAGATGGCCCTCTACAGTCCGGCCATGGCAGCACCTCGCATGCAGCCATGCACTTGAAGAGTCCTTGACACCTAATCATCACTGCGTGCACGGTAACTCACAGCAAACCTTAAACCCTTTTTGAACCCAGACTCTGCCAAACCTTAAACCCTAAATCCTAAACCCCGAATCCTAAATGCTAAAGCCTGGAGGCATTTGAAAACCCTGTTTTAAACGGAAACCGCCATGGCAGCCCAAAGCACCATCCGTGAGGTCGGCTCCTGGTATGACGGTTTCTGCATTCTTTAGCGGACTTACTGCCAGTTGGTTTAGAATTCAGGGCTCTGTTGTCTTTTTTGTTTGGGCTTCGGCTTTTAGGGTGAAAGACTATGGAGATTCAGGATAACGGAGGCTGTAGATTCCATGCAAAGCTTTTTTTGGCTTTTCGGGTCAATAGGGATGGTAGGAGATGCAAGTATTGCTTTCGTCAAGCCGGCAGAACTGCATCGAACTGGCAGCGCAGCGCTAGGTTCCCAACGGACTCGTTGTTCGCACCTCAGCCTCCCACTCCCTCACGCTTCCGCTATTGGAAGACTCACACCCGAAATGAACCATAGTCTAAACTCCTAATATCCCCCTTAATAAGCCCTATAGTAGTCCCCTATATAATCCCCTATATAACCCCCCTTTAAGGAGTTTAGATTATGGCTCAAATGAGAACCTATCAAGACTGAAGACTTGCCTCCCTGGGCCGATAGAGCTTGATTTTTGGGGAATAATGGAAAAATAAAACGGAAGCTACTAGAGTATATTGGGGTTATATTGGGATAATGGAAAATAACATGGAAGCTACTAGAGTATATTGGGGTTATATTGGGATAATGGAAAATAACATGGAAGCTACTATAGTATATTGGGGTTATATAGGGATAATGGAAACAAAATGGAAGCCACTATAGTATATTGGGGTTCTATAGGGATAATGGAAAATAGAATGGAAGC